TGCATTTTCTCTTGCTTTTTGAATTTTTAATTCATGATCATAACTAACAAAAAAAATATAGAAATCAAGACTTATTCATTCTTTCTTTTGAAAACTACATACTGTGAAACAAAAAGTTCATATTGATTTTTATCCAATGTTGAATTTTCAAGATCATTTGTTAATACTGTTTGTGTTACACGTTGTTCTATCATATGTTTAGCATTTTCAAGTCCATTACTAATACAAAAGATTCTGTTTAATTGAAATGAACATACAGTCAAAGACAAAAGTTTAAACGAAAATATATTTTTGATTTTGTTCTATAATAACAAGCATCTAACTGAAATTCAAAATAGTAATTCGGATAGCCAATGAAGAGCTCTATCAAATGCATCCTATACCAAAATTTCATAGAGGATTTAAAGTCTAGAAAACCCAAAATCGTATTTTTCAGGTCTCAGAAGACTTTGTAATAATTCTTTTCTAATAGTATCAACTTAAAGAATACAAAATTCTGAAGAAAATGAAGGATCACCGCCTTTCCTTTCAAAATTTATAAGCATCACAAAAGTCGAAAAAATACGATTTTTGTGATAAATTTCACTTTTTTTTCCAGTTTTTGTAATGCTTATAAATTTTGAAAGAAAAGGCGGTGACCCTTCATTTTCTTCAGAATTTTGTGTTCTTTAAGTTGATACTATTAGAAACGAATTATTGCAAAGTTTTCTGAGACCTGAAAAATACAGTTTTGGGTTTTCTAGACCTTAAATCATCTATGAAATTTTGATATAGGATGCATTTGATAGAGCTCTTCATTGGCTATCCGAATCACTATTTGGATTTCAGTTAATGCTTTTTATTATAGAAAAAAATCAAAAATACATTTTTGTTTAAACTTTTGTCTTTGACTGTTTATATATATTCTTACATATATCGTTCATTTTTATTTGATTTTGATGTACCGATACGGTGAAGACTTTGATCCTAATCAAAAAACGAAAAGAAAATAGTTATCAAAAATAACTATTTTATTTACCATTCGTCGAATATCATCTAAGAAACTAGCTGAAGATGATGTTCGTAATTCATTTAAACCATCCGATGATGACCATTGAATAATAGATGGTTTCAAATTTGAACGAGTAGA